TTTAATATAATATTTGATATGTTTTATACCTGAACTTGAAAAAGTTCCTTTGTAAAAATACACAAAAGCGTTTGTGATGTTGTGTAAATTTCTAAAACTCACCACACAGTGAGAGAAACTTAGAACTGGTTTGGCTGGTGACAGCCCTGTTCTGGATTTTTCCACTACACATTTTTTCCTATATGACCAGCTGAAGCAGAGCCTCATTCACATCTAAAGACACAGTACCATCAGCGTGGACCTGCGTCCCATCTCTCTACCATGTATACATCCAGTCACAGGCGCCCTGCCCCATCCCACACTTGAACTTCACACTCTCGGTGGGGAACACACCAACACAAGTTGGAAGTGAACTCTGACGAAAGCAGACGCATTAACCATTTAACATAGCATGCTTTTACAGTTGCAGCTAGCAATGATTTCTATTATTTAGTGTGTAAAACAGGATGTGTCCTTTTACACAAATGATCTTATTCTTTCCCTCACAGCTCCACCTATGTTCTAACACCCTGACGGCTTTTGAGGCATCCCTCTGTGCTTTATGCTACGCCACAACATCCTGTTTCGACAGACGATGCAGAAAATAACGGAAGGAAGATGCTCTCAAAATGCTGTTTCACGGAGTACAAAGAAGTTTTGAGGTTTTAATAACAGTATGGACAACGCAAAATATGACCTGCTTATACACAAGATTAGCATTTTGCATATTCACAATACCAACTGCTTATTTACAACAATAATTTTACTTGTGTTCACCTACTGTTGTGGTGAGGTTTGAGAAAACTGATAAGAATCTCATGTTCGTCTGTGAGGTATATATGAAGCAACGCAGAGGGCCAAAACAGACTGTTTGGCTCTGTCCACAGTGACAGAATCACCCTGTTAGCCTGTCGTACTCTTATTACTTTGTTATTTCTTAAACTGTTAATGCAAGTTAAAGTAATGCCATGCACATGCAAGAAAACTCACCGCTAACTTGGATCATAACCTCGCTGCTGAATCCAGAGTTCACTCCCCTAGATGTAAGGTGAGCTTTGCAGGTGTATGATCCTTTATGCGTCTGACGGACCGGGTTGATTTTTAATGATGATCCGTCCCCATTAATGATCTCAACTGGGTTATTTTGGAGCTGCTGCTTGTTTCTGTGCCATGTAAACGTCCAGCCAGGGGTGCTGCTGACAACGTGACAGCGAAATTCCACCGCCTCACCTTCAAACACATCTTTCCAGGCAGTCTGAAGCTGCAGACCTGGTGTTGGTGGGTCTGTAACACAAAAAAAGAGAACTTTTAACTGCAGGTTAAAAGAGTATCAGTAAGAAAGCCAAATTGCTATGTACATCATCCAAGTACTATACATGCACCCAAAGTTACACACAGCCTCATGTAAATAAACATGAATGCTGTAGTTTATGTACTGGTGGCACAGTGGATACTTACCAATAACTTTAATTTCGACAGGTCCACTTTCTTTAGTTTGACTGGGCTTCTTTTTGCCCTCAACCACACAGGTGTAATATCCAGCATCTTGTGATGATGACACTGTGATTGTAAGCACTGACTTATCTGGGGACGGAGACGGATTTGGACCAGAACCTAGAGGGCTTCCATCTTTCTTCCATGTGATGATCAGCTCCGAGCTGCTAGTGGCTTTACATTCTAGCACTACTTTCTCAGAAGAGAAGACGTCTGACCAGGAGGACGTTCGCTCCAGAACTGGTACCGGAGGCTCTGAAAATTGATTAAAAAAGTGAAAGAATGGGAATGAATGAGGGTTTACACTCCTAAAAGAAAAACAACTGGGAGTTTAGATTCCATTCGTATATCCAGAATCTGAGCAAAACCCCCCTAATGATGGCTATAGACGTAATATAAAAATATCAGTAAATCTAAAAGAATAATCACAAACGAAGTACACAGAGGAGCATCTGTGAATGTAGAACGCAGTAAAAGCTGAAGGAGATGTGAGCACAAAAACACCAGATGCTAATCGTGTCAGGTAAGAACAGGAAACCAAAGTTACCAAAACTTGACAATTAAAGACCGGAAAAAACATTTTGATTGGTTAGATTTCTGTAATGACACAACCTCAGAATTGTTGCGTTGAATGGGGTGTTTTATGGGTCAGTAGGAAGTCTTTAGATACTCTACAGCATCAATCAGACATCACCTAAAAAGCTTACTCAAGTAGCCCGTTGTTGCTGGCCCTGCCCATTCCTTTACTGATAAATTGTACCCATCTATTCAACAGGACGGCATGCCAAAGCTCAAACACTCGCGCTGCATTCTTGAACACAACGAAGTGTTCACTGAATTCAGATCTGACTAGATGTCAGTGAAATACGTCACCTATCGGATGTGGTTAAATAAAACAAATCCATCATGCAGGTACTGCTGCCCACTAATGTGCAGTCCTGGCATGATGCTCGGCATGCCAGTTAAGGTAGCTCTGAAGCCAAAAACGAGCCCGACATGTTAGCGGCACAGTGTAAGTGGCGTTTGACGAGTACATATGATCTAAAAAACTGAGGTCATAATCTCACCAAAAGGAGGAGGTGCTGTCGATTCACTTTCTGTAGGATTGTAGGTGGTTGCTGGATGAAGAAGAGAAAAGATGTGGAGAGCAAAGTTTAGATTAAAAAAAAACAAGGTTTGAGTCATATCCACAATGTAAAGGTGAGACTTCATAAAAACACTGGTAACAGTTAAATCAGAGCTCCAATCTCAAACTGCGATGCCTAATTCTTTTTTAGTAGACATGAATGATTGAAATGAACACATTTTTCACAACTTTTAAGAACTTTTAGTTTGACAAAACAATGACTTAAAAACACTTCTCATGTAGAAAAAGGAGGAAAACATCCTTTGTGTCCTACATACAAAACTATTACACAATACATCCCCTCTCAATACTGTCAAGTGAAACCTACGGCATGATGACAGGAGACTATTGAGATTAGGCTGGCGTGAGGTAATACGGACACATGAGTTTATAAGTGTGTGTATCTAGTTGTAGGAACTTTCAGACTCATGACAATAAAGTACTTCATGTTCCTCTTGTTAAATTTACCCAAGTTCTACTTCCTAAACATTGCTCTTGCTCGACTCAGACCAGGCCATGTAGGCATTCAGTGCATAAATGTTGGTTTAAGAGACACTTTATGATCTTAACAGTTAACTTCTGTACTGAATCTGGTGTTTTTGCTCAACATGAAAATGTTTTAGAAAATCTTTTTCCAAAAATCATCTTCAACTTCTAAAACAGTGCAATCTGCTCGAATGTGTGAAAATCTGCTCTCGGCATGAAAGACAGTTTTTCCTACCATCGTTATCCTCAGAAGCACAAACAGCAACCGCATCTGTCAAAGAACCAAACAATGTTCAGTTGCATTAAGATTTGCATGTAAGTGAAAATATTCTTTATAAACTACAGAATTGAACATAAACGCTTAAAAACTTACATATTACACTGAAGACCTTGAACAGCCACATTTTCCATTGAGCTGCACGTGTAGCACATGTAGAGACTGGGTGTCTCAGTTGACTCATTTATCTGCTTCGCTGTGACATTCAGTAAAGGAAATAGAGCGCAGTTGCAGTATAAATGGGCGTATGTGACAGCTTCATTTCTGAACTCACCTCAGGACGGCAGCTTTCCTGTCGCTCTCAGACAACTGCCTTTTTTTGTTAAAGCAACAGGAAATGTGTTGGTGAACCACACTCAGATGTTTGTTGTTGATACAAAGTTGAACTGCTGATTTGTGTGAAATAAAAGGAGGGTTTAGGGAATTGAAAGAATGTGCAAGATGCTAAACTGTTGACAAAGCTCGATATTGTGCTCAATTTGACGATTTTAGACCTAAAGTCGTCTATGACTTAGCCAGCATGTCGTATCTGGGATATTTCATTGTGCAGAAAAAAACGAAACAAAAGAAATAATTTTAAAAAACTACCAACATCAACAAATGCATTCCTAAAATCAAAGTTATCCTTTTACTATGGTGCAGGCCATTTGGAAACTGTAGCTGAGGCGTGATTTGAGGGGATGAACGGAAACTGCAGGTTATTTAAATTCTACTTTTTTTATAAACTTATATGAAACTAGCGTCTAACCACAAACTGTGACTTCCTTTTGTCTTCAGCTGAAAGTTGCTCTCGAAAAACAAGAAAGGAAATTTCTTAACAGTTTCATTTTGACTGAAAACACCTTTTAGAGCACACATGTAACTACATTATATGTAATATTCAAAACAGCCTTAACGACCACATCAGTTTTAATTATTACGTGTCGAATGAATCTTTCTCTCTCTGGTGACTTCCTGTAAGGCTGGGTGTTTTGCACCGAGATGCATCACATTTCAGTTCCTGTGTAAGCGAGGACTTCACTCACCCTACTCACCACAAGGTGTCTGTATAACACAGAAAATCCCGTTATGTCATGTCAAACTAAAATAAACCTCGGTTCATATCAAACCTGGGAATAACAACAATAACCTATCTTTAAAAAAACATTTGTATAGATCAGTCTTTGGATTTATCCGGTTTATTAAAGCCTGATTAGATTTCACCAGGCCATGTATACTCGGTGGCCACTTCATTAGTTACACCTTGCTAGTACAAAGTACTTGGACTGCTCTTTTGCTTGCAGAACATCGTCAGTTCTTCATGATACAGATGATATAAGATGCACTGTTGCACTATATAAATAAAACTGAACAGAATTTAATTCGATTGAATTGAATGTGGACGAGAAATCGAGATAAATCACACCTGCCACCATTTTTTGCACTCTTCCAGCGTCAGTTTTGGTGTGTGCATTTGTGTAGCCTCACTGTTCTCTTATCACCCTACATGAGTGACTTCCAGTCTGGTCTTCTGCTGCTTCTTCATCAAGTTGTGCATTCAGAGCTCTTCTGCACACCTTGGTTGTAATCAGCGGTTCTTTGAGTTAGTGTTGCTCTGATATCAGCTCAAAGCATTCTGTTGATTCTCCCCTGACTTATGGCATCAATATTTTCTGTTTTTCAGACGATACCATCAAACCCTAGAGATGATTGTGTGGAAAAGTCCCAGAAGACCAGCAGTTTCTGAAATAGCCAGACCAGCCTGTCTGACACCAACAACCATGCCACGTTTAAAAATACTTAATTGAGCTTCTTTCTGATGCTGAGTTTGAACTTCTGCTTTGAAGATAGTGGATTATGGCAGCAGATATTATACAGACTGAGTTGCAGCCATGTGATGGGCAGTTGAACAGGTGTAGCCAGTGAAGTGGCTGCTGAGTATATGTTTCTATAAGGGGGGGGGGGACTGCATGATTTGTCTAAAGTAGTATTTAGTGAATCATGTGTTTTGGAGTCGTTTTATTTTGGTATTGATGCTATTACTACTACTACTAATAATAACAATAATAACAAACAATAATAAACAGGCACTTACAGGTACTGTTATCGGTGGCTTGAACCACATACAACAACCTCGGCTCTGTTTAAAACCGCAGTTTAGCGGTTGTTAGTGAGTAGTTGACATCAAAAGTTACCGGTGCTGTTGTGTCGCTTCTGACACCATTAATCGTTCCATACGTCAGCAAACATCTTTTTTTTTAAGTTACATAATGTAAAACTTACGTTGTCGTTAACGTTACTGTCACACACAATGATGCATTCACGGGTCGCTTTCACTTCCAGAGCGCACAGTCTCCTTCCTGTCTTCTAAACTGGGATTTCCGTAGTTTTTCTTTTCCCAAACTTTACCACTTCCCAGTGTTGCCAACTTAGCGACTTTGTCGCTATATTTAGCGAGTTTTCAGGCCACCTTAGCGACTTTTTTTCTGAAACGCGACTAGCGACAAATCTGGCGACTTTTTCTGGCGTTATTAGAGACTTATTTATGACGACTTTACTCTCAATAAGCAGCGGGTGCTGCGGTGGGCACCTCGCCCGTGCCAAAGCGCTCACAGGCCGCTATCAGGGCAGGGCTCCCGCACTGACTGCAACGCAGTCAGTTCTTCTTTTACTGTTATGTTGTTTTGTGGACCACAACGTTTAAAACCACACACACACACACACACACAGTAACTCCACCAGAGCGCCTGTTTCGGGTCACTTTTGCCGATCCAAGCCCAGGTAAAGGAGCAGGGTTGGAATTGTGACATTAAAAAAACAATAATTGCTAAAAGAAATTTAATTTGTAGTTCTAAATAAACTCTAAATGCATTTAAGACATTTTTTACTGACTTTGTCTCTTCCACGATGTTATTTCTCTCTCCAACAACGTAGGTTACAATTACATTAGCATGACCAATTATGCAAATTAGGCGATGACGTCATTTAGCGACTTCTAGCGACTTTTAGGCCAATGGCGATTTTTCTTACTGAGGAGTTGGCAACACTGCTACTTCCAACATCGCAAACATCGTGCAAACAGCGATGAGTAACTGGACTGTTCCTGTCATCAATGTGTAAACAGGCTAAACAAAAGATGCTTCCAGATGTATGTTCAGTTTCACTTGACATTTTTCCCCCAACAGGACCTCAGGTGATTCTGGCAAAGACAAAAATGGGCAGAGTCGTGGTATTTCCCTTGTTTGTCTTAAGGTCTCGCCAATCCTGGAAGCTGTGCTGTGCATCTGGACTGCATACTTCTTTTCTTTTCTTTGTTACCTTCATATTCAGGTCCCGTTCAGTTAAACTGTTTCATTATTAATAAAAGATAATGTACAGTCACTCACTGTTCCTGATGAAACACCGGTGCAGTGTCAATAATATTACTAATATTAATACTAGTAACGCTAATAACTGTTTGAAAACTGAATCATGAAGTGGTGCTTTTTTTCTTTCTGGGGATTTTCGAGAAAACATTTCAAACTTAAATGTTTTTTTCACAGAGGCAATGATGGGGAACTCTCCAAAGAGTGTACAGTTGAATAAGATAGCTCGGCAGATAGTATTTCATTTCAACATCTATTGTTTTTTAGAAAACAATAGATGTTGTACAACATTAGCTTCAAAGACAATCTTGTGTTTGGTGGCAGAAGTTGAGGGGCTAACAGAGAGAAACAGACATGTGCCTGCAGCCAACATTGAACCACCAGTTAACCTGACATACGTACAGGTAGGTCCATATATATTTGGACACTTTTTACCTGTATACTTAAACATATTCCAATTATTGATACATAATGGACATGGACATAATATGCAGACTCAGCTTTCATTCAAGCGTATCCACATTCAAATTGGATGAAGTGTTTAGGAGTACAGGTCCTTAACATGCACCGCTCTCTTTTTAAAGGGACCAAAAGTAATTGGACAATTGATTTAAAGGCTATTTGATGGGCTCATTGTTTCATTACTAATGAAGCAGATAAAATGACTGGAGTTGATTTGAGCTGTGGTGCTCGAATTTGGAAGATATTGCTATGAACAGCATGCGGTCAAAGCAGCTCTCCATGCAGGTGAAACGAGCCTGCTTAAGCTGCAAAAACTGAAAAAAAAAAACCCCTCATCTGAGACTTTGCTGCAGTGTTAGGAGTGGCAAAATCTACAGTTTGGTACATCCTGAGAAAGAAAGCATTGGTGAGGTCAGCAACGTAAAAAGATCTGGATGTCCAAGGAAGACAACAGTGGTGGAGAATCATTTCCATGGTGATGAAAAATCCTATCACATCAGCCAACCAAGTGAACAACACTCTCCAGGAGGTAGGTGTACCAGTAACCAACCATGAAAGTAAATACAGAGTTCACTGCAAGGTTCAAGCCACTCATAAGCCCCAAGAATAGAAAAGCTGGATTGGACTTTGCTAAAAAACAAAACATCAAAAAAGCCAGCACAGGTCTGGAAAAATATTCTTTCGAGATGAAACCAAGATCAACGTCTCTCAGAATGATGGCAAGATGGCAAAATTATGAGACAGCTCATGATCCAATGCATTCCACATCATCTGTAAAACACAGCAGGGCGGTGTGATGGCTTGGCCATGCATGGCTGCCAGTGTCACTGGGGCACTAGTGTTTGTTTGTTTGTCTGTGTTCAGAGACAAATTGAGCTCAAATTGAGCTAAATGCAGTCAGAGTGATTGGGCAGCATCATAGTACAGATGGACAACGACCCAAAACATGCAGCCAAAGCAACACAGTTTATTAAAGCAAAGAAGTGGAATATTCTTGAACTGCCAAATCAGTCACCTGACCGTAACAAACTGAGCTTTTAACTTGCTGAAGACTAAACTTCTCCACACAAACAGCAACTGAAAGGCCTGGCAGAGCATTAACAGGAGGAAACTCTTTTATGCAATCTTTTTGTTCAACCCACTGAATTAAAGCTGAAGGTCTGCACTTCAACTGCATCTGAATTGTTGCATTTAAAATTCATTGTGGTAATGTACAGAAGCAAAATTAGAAAAAGTTGTCTGTGTCCAAATATTAATGGACATAACTATACGTTTGGACTGTGAGAGGAAGCCTGGAAACCCACTAAGTCACAGGAACAGGAACAGGAACTTAACGAAGGCTAGAAACATCTTATTGAGAAACAACAGTACTCACCACTACGCCACCAGTAACCAGAATTTCATCAAAATGCCAGAGAACCAGTCTACAAAGGCTGTTTCATTAAATGATAACAACTTGAAATCTCATTATTGAAATCCTATGACTCTCTTAATAACTGTAGATAACTCTACACTGGGACACTGTATTATAAGCATCTTTAAATGTATGTTTTTAA